CTCTGGTCCTCTCCTGGAGCCCTGCGCTGCAGAGAGACTGCTGCTACAGCTCTCTGGCTGTTTTGTTTGTTTGTTTGTTTGTTTTGTACTGAGTCTGATCCTCCACGGTGCGACCTGTCAATCAATCCAGTAGGCGTGTCAGTAACTGACCAATCGACGACCTCAAATTGTCCCGAAGGTAAACGCCCCTTACCTGCTGACAAGCCCGTCAGGTTCTTTTTTTTTCTAGAATTTTATTAACACAAAACAGAACAATGCAACAATATAAAAATACAAACTCGTGAAGTGTGTCATAACTACATTTCACAAAATAATGAAAGAGAAAAAAATAAACCTAAAAAAATTGTAATAAATAAAAAATACAAGAGCGTGACTATATGAGAAACTTATTGTTTTAATTAAAACAATGCATTTTTTTATCTGTTGCGAGATGATTTTAGCAGTTTAGCAGTTTTTTTTAATCTACCAAATAAAGAATAGTATGACTTAAAATCCACTTTGTTCTTATTTTTATTTTATTTAGTGTTTCAGTGTTTTATGAGCTCTGCACAAGAATACCAGTGTTCCTGGATTGTTGGTCTGTGCACAAATGGTAAGTAAAGAACTTTGAACTTGATCTTCTCACGTCTGATCTTTGCTCTGCTCCTCGTGTTCTCCACCTGGAGGGGTTTCAGAGGGAGGACCTCCTTTCTCTCCACCCTCACTCCGATCCATGCTGCTGGACTCAGGTCAGCTCAAACACCTTCTGCCTTCACCTGCTGAGGAAACACACATACATTCAGCCGTGCAGCACAATCCAGTTTTTCTTGGTCCTGATTCCTGCAGCAGCTCAAACAGACTAACACTAAACATCTGGAACCACTGTATCTAAAGATACTCACAATTTAATAACCTGACTGGGACGTTAGTCATTTTACTTTGAAGGTCTCACAGGAAGTAGCTGTTTTAACATTTAGATTACTGAGAAATGAACGTGAAAATAACAACAAAGTGAAAATAACAACAAAGTGAAAATACTGTAAACTGTTTTAGGAGAGAAAAAATGAACATTCAGTAAACCTGATGCTGTTTGTTTGTATTTATTTAATAATCAGGTGATTTCTTGTCGAACAATAAAGATGTCTTGTGTTGAAATAAGTTTGTGTAAAACAGAAACTAACGCGGAATAAAGACAAATATAATCTGAAAATATAAATATATTCTAATATCAATCAGAGGAAACTTACATTTATCTGAACGAAGTTAAAGAGTTGGATAAGCAGCTCCGCTCATCGGCAGAAGTGGATCAGACGAACCGAAGCGACCAGAAGGTTTTATAGACATGAACGAGAGAGCCATGACGTCACCACAGGAAACCTAATCACGTGACCTCTCAACTGACTCTTCGTACGTTGATTGGCAGCTGTATCTGCTGCTCTTTAGTTACGTCAGCTCTTTTTAAAACTGAAGGTTTGTAAGAAGCAGCATCAGTGAACTGCAGTGAACCGAGATGTTCAGAACCAGATGTTCAG